AAGGAAGGAAGGAAGGAAGGAAGGAAGGAAGGAAGGAAGGAAGGAAGGAAGGAAGGAGAGAAAAGGAGGGAGGGAGAAGGAAGGAACAAAGGTAGGATGGAGGGACAGAGTGAGGGGGGGAGGAGAAGGAAAAGAAAGAGGGAGGAAGGAGGGAGAGAGGGAACAGTAGGAAGGAAATTAATTGAATGTAACCTTAAATTCATGGGTCAAAGCTCATTCGAGGTTGTCCTCAACTTACGACCGGTTGGTTAGTGACTGTTCAAAGTTACAACCTACCTGAAAAAGGGGACTTACGACTCAGGTCCAAAGTTCCAACAGTCACACACACACACACACACACATGTCATGTGGGTGCACTTTGGGGCACATGGCAACACGATCAACATTGGCTGCCATGTGCAGCATCCCACGCTTGCATGACCCTGGTTTATGACAGTTTTGCCAAAAAATGGCACGTGCTTCTGGTTTTCCAGCAAGACAGCACCCATAATGAAGCATCAGTTCGCTTAACGTCCACCGCAGAACGCATCATGAAATGACTATTACGACAGGTTCCATTACGGTCGTAAAATCAAGGAGTACCTGTCCTTTTAGCCAAAATGTATTGGAAAGGGGTAGGGAAAAAAAGGAAGGGGAGAGAAAGTAGAATAGGGTCTGTCCCTCCCTCTCCCTCCCTCCCTCCCTCCCTCTCCCTCCTTCCCTCCTTCTCTTCCCCTTCTCTTCCTACTATCAAAGAAATAGTGGAATACAGGTAGTCCTTGACTTAGAACAGTTCATTTAGTGACTGTTCAAAGTTACCATGGCACTGAAAAAAGTAACTTATGACCATTTTTCACAGTTATGACCTTTTCAGTATCCCCATAGTCACGTGGTCACAATTCAGACGCTTGGCATGTCAAGCCTGAAATTGACCTATGTGTAGCCATTTTAGTTAGACTTAGTATACATTCTTTTTCTTACTTTCTCTGTGGCAGTCATGGGGGGGGAGGGTTTTGTGCTTGCCACATTCCTAAGTAGTGGAGATAAAGAAAGTTGTTTTGGCTAGGTGGTTCTTCTTCCTGTGGGAAAATGAGCTGTCCGTGCTTAGGCCCCTTGAGGTGGAGATTTATGACATCAAGTAATGTTGAATTACTTCTATTGGAGAATGTGACTTTTGGGGGTTGTTTCTATATTGTGGGGTAATTCTGGGTTGTGTCAGATCCAGAATTACCGCGGACTTTGCCAATTTGATGCTTTCCTAAATAAAAGAAATTGTCTTGGAAGATGGACTTTGCTCTTTTCTTTTTTTAAATGGATTTCATCACTTGGAAACCTGACATGGCAACTGGCTCGTCCTTATGACCGTTGCAGCACCCCAGAGTCACATGATCCCTTTTTTTTTTGCAACCTTCTGACAAGCAAAGTCAACGGAGAAGCCAGATTCACTCAACAACCAGATTACTAACTTAATAAGTGGTTTACTTAACAATTGTGGCGAGAAAGGTGGTAAAATGGGACAAAACTCACATAACAAAATTCTCACTTAACCACAGACCTGTTGGGCTCTGTTGTGGTCATATGTCGAGGACTACCTGCAGAATCTTTGAAGGAAGGAGAGCAAAAGGAGAGAACAGAATGCACTGTGAAGGACCTAAATTCAAAATATTTTTAAATGATTTTAAAATAATGAAATGGAATCGCTCAATGGTCCCACAGCGAGTTGTCTGTGGCGAGTCGGCCGCTGCAAATTGGCCTGTGGTGAGTTTGTCCCCTTCCATCCTCACCCATAGAGACAAACGTAACAAAGCTACGTCTCTCTCTTTCCGCACGGACTTCTTTCTTTTTTGTCTCATGGGGTGGGGTTCCGTTTTTCTTCGGGCCATCTTGGACCGAACACATTGCTCCCAATCGATGCACCAGGAACACCCAGAATGTAAGAAATCAGGTGGCTACATTTGTACACGTTTATTGACTAAAGGAAGCCATTTGGGGCCTACAGCGAGGAGACTCCATAACTTGCACAGGGAAGGAAATGCCGCGTTTCTGTTTCTGTCCACCAGGAGCTCTTGGCTGTACGGTATCTCTTACCGTGAGCTATTTTCGGACCACTAGAACCCATAACTCCACCTGCTGAGGTTGAAGAGCTCACGTAGTCCGCCTTCAGGGCACAAATGTTCCTGCAGGCTCAAGAGACTCTGAGAACCTGGAAGGTCTGCAAGACTTCTACCAGCTTGTTGAGCACAAAGGGATGACGGTTGTTGCAGAAGGCGTGGGAGGTGCCTCCCCCGCCCCCACCAACTTTCAGGAGAAGGAGTGACGTGCCCATTTGTAAATCGAAAAGAGTGCATCCCTCAAGTTGAGAAAAGTCGGGCGGTCTTCGGGATGGGCCTTCCAGCATTCCAGCATGATGCTATAGACCTCAGGGGAGCAACTGTTGGGGCGAGGAAGACGGTAGCCCCGAGTGATCTGCTGGATGGTCTCCTGATTGGTCATCCCTAGAAGAAGACAGAGGAGAGAAATGGTCAGGTTCACGAGGAACAGCGAGGTGGGACAGGTAAGGGAGGACTCTCCTTACACAGAGATGGGGTTCCTTGCCCATGTCAGGGTGACCAAACCGTTCTGGAGGATTTCCCGCACCCCAAACCTCTCAAAAGGGACTGTAAGGCTCCGATTTCTCACTTCTAGCTGGAGTGTTGACTTGACCCCAGCCCTCCTTGTTGGGGCTTCTGAAATTGGAAGTATCTGCTTGGACGTTCTAAGAAAAAAAAGGATGGTCAGGCCTGGCCCAGGAGATGGAGTTGGGGTGGAGAACTAACATATCTCCAGGATGATTGGGCATATTACAATGTGTGTGTGTGTGTGTGAGAGAGAGAGAGAGAGAGCGATGTTGTGGCCCGCCGGTGACTGACAGAGTTGGCAGCAGAGTCAGACAGCAAGGAGGTTGTGGAGAAACCCAGGCCAGTCCTGGGGGCTGAGGACGGCTCGGATGAGGGCTCTGCGTCAGAGGCAGCGATGGGGCCAGGGTAGGCTGGCAGTCATCAGCTGCCTTCGGGCTCGGACAGCAGGGAGGCGGAGGAGCTTCTAGAACCGGTTCCCCCAAAGGAAAGAACAATTAAGTACTCGGGGTCAACATGGGAGCAAGGCCACAGGTGGAAGATGAATGGCCCCTCCCATCAGGATTAAAAGAGGACCAAAAGAGGAGGGGGCTTTTGCAGGAAACAATTTGTTCGTTCCAGCCTCGTGAAGATTTGTCTGCGTAGCCTAGAGATTCTGTGCCCAGCCCATGTGGAAATATTTACATGTGGAAATATTTACCAGGCGACTTTCCAAGATAGATACGATCTGAGCTAATAATTATACCTTTGCAAGACTGTTTACCAAGCCGTTGGCTGAATGGGAAGGCAATACATTCACATTCATTTAATAACAAAGGTTTTGCCGGGACTCAGAGTTTGCTTAATGCTTTTTGGGGAAACCAAGGGCAGAACAAAAGAGAGAGAGAGAGAGAGACTCCTTCTTCCCTCCCAAGAGCTTTCTGTTGTCATGATCCTCTCTGTAGGGCATCCATTGAAATGAAATCGTACCATCGTA